TTATAATACAAACTGTAAATCACAGTGATTTACAATCTCGATAATTTCGCTCTCGACGAGTGCAAAATACACATTTTTTCCCCCTGCGGCTTTCACAGCCAGGCTTATATATTAACGAAGAGGGCATCTCGGACTTCCCCAATCATTCGAAAAACGCACGCACGCCAGCAGCGTCACGTGACTTCCGCTGTCGTAACACAAGCATAGGTCCTTGTTAAGAAAATACAGTAAAACATTTTGAAACACATAGTTATCGTTTTTCAACAACTATAATCCATTATATATATCCAGAAATAATTTTGAAAAAGGAAAAAAATAAGTTATATATATACATACAACACTGACTAAATAAAACACCTCAATAATTATACATACTGCCGAAAAATAAAGATATATATATATATATCACATAACACTTTACTTAAATTAAAAGAAACAGTATAACTTTCATATTTGAATTAAACTACATGAATATAAAAATAACAACAGGTATGACAATACAACATTATTCACTCTAACCAATGGCAAAATCCATTCTCTTGCCCTCAGTTTAAGTCATTCTAAAGATCTTCCAGGATGGCGTTCATCCAATGACTGGCCATAGTGGTTGCCCTAATGATATCACGAGCTTTGTCGACGGCCTTCTCGAGTCTGCCAGCTCAGCTCACAGGGGGCCCAGCATGGCCAGGTGGTTAGGGCACTCCACTCACAATCTGCGGGTCACGGATTCGAATCCCCGTCACACCAAACATGCTCGCCCTTTCAGCCGTGGGGGCATTATAATGTGTGGTCAATCCTACTATTCATTGGTAAAAGAGTAGCCCAAGAGTTGGCAGTAAGTGGTGTTGACTAGCTGCCTTCCCTCTAGTCTTACACTGCTAAATTAGGTAAGGCTAGTGCAGATAGCCCTCGTGTAGCTTTGCGCGAAATTCAAAACAAACAAACAGCTCACAGAAGACAGACTTTTTCTTCAAGCCATGATAAATTAATTTCCAACCACCAAAGCTGATCTTCCTCTCTATTTTATAGGTCCCAAGCATCTTTCCACTTTATAGTCATTTTCTGACAGTGCCACTTTAGTAGATGGATCTGCTGAAGTGTCATTTGGGCATTCACGATTTGAAAGTAGTGTTAGGAAGGTTTTTCTTGACTGCTACTGGATTGATTCTCAGTACCTATTTGGTGGTAGTGGACTGACTTTCACGGAAGTAGAAACTTTATGCATAATATCAACCATAGCATTGTTAGCCATCGAAGTCAAGACTATCTCATTTATCTGGAAGATCCTTGCAGTTGATGTTAATAGTAGCATGACTTGTGATGAGACCTTCCTAGTTAGCTGGCTCTTATCTTTGGTGGTAGTGACGTCATGGATCCCAGATTCACTGCTGAATGTTTTGGTGGTGCCAGTTCGCATCTTTTTTTTATCTTCTCTTCTCATTACTCAGCTGTCCGTCAAGGTAATTTTAATTCTAGGAAATTCCTCCTTCTCTTTGATATGTAGTGGTCCCAATGAAGGTGGGGAGATATCTGGTGCCTACACTTCACCATCATTAGACACACTCTGAAGTAAAATTTAATGAGAGGCTTTCAATGCCAAGATATCCACTTTATCTCCCTTTTAACTGACGACATTGTGGTAGTCAGTGGTGTGTTTTGAACAACTGACAGTTTTGGGTGAGCTAGCAAAGATATCATGATCAGTGGCACCCTTTCCAAGTCAATTGAACACACTACATTAAAGGTGAGCTTGGGTCTTCTCAGTGAATCCACCACTTACTTGGCTTATCGAGCTCCAGGAGACATCAGAGCCAGTCGGACAATTGAGTCAACATTATCCCAAATAACTAATGCGTTTTTCCAGATGGAAGGTCAGACTAGTTCTTGAATTCTTTGGATCAATGGAAAAGTCCAGCTCCTCGCCCAACAGAAAATTATGATCATACTGCTTATGATCAAAGTATCTTTCCATTATGTAGCTGAAAAAGAGACATAAAGATATAAGCATGCAAGAAGAGTAGTTGAAGATCAAGATAACCAAAGTGGTCAAGAATCTGCCCTTAATTATCAAAGGTCCAGATAGAAAATGCAAGATCATTAAATTTCAATTGGTCAAAAGGCCAGCTAGGTGTATATGTTTAAAAAATAGGCCATAACTACCCAATTACAAACATTACCTCATTGTAAAACTATCTTTAGAAACAGAGAAATCATTGGATTACCTTAGTCAAGCGATATTTTTTATGAGGTTCGTGTGCTCATGCTCTACTTTTTCATAGAACATTTATCCCTAGTACCCTTGGACTTCTCAATCCACAAGCATCATTGAGTCTCTGCTTAACCAATACCTTATTAGCTGAGCTGCCCATGGCAATTGTCAATATGCTTAAACTTCAACTCAAATCCATTCTTTCCACTACTACCTGGTTATTAAACAACCAGCACTCTGTTCCAGTAGAAAAGGAATGAAACGCAACAATGATGTCATCTTCCAGCATCCATCAGAATTGTTAGAGGGAAAGGTTCTAGCCCAGCACAAATGGCCCAGTGAGTAAGGTCAAGCAGATCATGCACCTTTATTCAAGGGAAATGTGTAAGAAGATCTGAGTTGTTACTGAGACATTTTAGGCAGGTCACTGCCTGGAATGGTTGAACTATAGATAAGGTTATAAAATATCTTCTCCTGAACTTGGACAATTTGGCCCTGAATGTGATTGACCAGTTGGAAGAAGAGCAGTTGAATAACTGGGTAACTGTCATAGGTGAGTTATGTTTCCAGTTAACCCTGAGGCGAAGTCAGGCAATATATTGTGCCAAGTTTAAGACAAATAAAAAAGGGATGACACTGAGAAACTGGTCGCCTATGCAGATGATCAGTGTCATTTACACGGGAAAGCCTAGCTTAAACAGATTAAGAAAGTGCCCTAATAGACGAGCTAACTAAGGGACTATATAATGAACTTATAAGAAAGCACCTAGGAACGGAGAACATATCACTTTCCAAGTCTGTTGTGACACATTGTGAAGAGAAGAAAGTCTGCAGTGGCCGTTTCAATAATGAATATGCAGACAAAAGGTGTGAAGCAAGTGCCTCCACCATATTAGCTCATGCCTATCAATAGAAGGGGTGTCAACCAGCCATATCCACAGGGTGGAAATGTGTGACGACTACATAGGCTTTTAGTGAATGGGTAGGGCTATGTACGCCTTTCCATGGGGTATATGGCATTACCATACCTGCCCATGGTACATCTTCCACTAGAGTCATGGCTGATGCTCCCATTTGAACCTTGCTTGAGGCAAGAGAGTTAAATGCCTGTTTTTCTAGTGAATAATTGGAGCACCACTTGAGCAACTGCCCATGCTTTTTGCCATTTCGAGGATGGCCAGACCCCTAATTCCAGCATATAGCCCAACAGGCCCCTGTCAAACCCTTTATCCTTAATATCCTCATTTTACTAAGCAGCAAGATTATTGGTGGCATTGGTATCATTCAATGGACAAGCAAGTTTTGCAAGACCAACAATGAGAGGTGAATGGCATACCAAATGCTCAACAAAACTATTGGAATCGAAGCTGGACTTGGCCACCAATTTGGGGGCTACAGTGGATTGGTTTAAACCAAGGAGTCCTGAGGCTAGCCCAGCTCTGTCAGAGTTGGGTAGGGCCATAAATCTACCTGTAATTGTGCAAGGATGAGAAGTTGAGTTTCTGGTACATACCAGAGTAGCAAGGATTCTGGTGGACCTTGGAATCTTCTAAGCCTTTTAAGTGAAGTCACCACTATACCCAGTGAACAAGAATTTTATTCTGGTAAATGAAAGTAAACTGGACTTCAGAGGAGTTTTAGATCTCTTACTCAGTCTGGGAGGTGTTACTCACAGAATGAAAGTGGTTGCTTCTGATTTTGAGTCTGGAATAGGCATCCCCAGGATGGATATATTGTGGAGTTCGTCAGCATGAAGTTTTTCCTTGCAATAGGTGAGCTAACTTTCCGAGGGAAAGCCACACAATGCGGTTATGCCACACAGACCAAACTCATGAACAGTAGTTTGCACAAGTGTATGTGGCAAAGAGAATGATAGTCCCTCTATTTACCTATTAATGTTCTGCAGACTAATCGGGACAAGGTCTAATGCATTGGTAGGTTATAACATGGTTATAGAAGCCATTCAGAGAATAATCTGTTTCCTGTTCAAAATGCAGATAGCACTAGCTCAGGCAATGATCCTCCTGACAAAGGATGAAGTTCTGGTGATGTTCTTTTTAAGGTAATGAACCCAAACTGAACACAGTACTCCAAATATGAGATAGCCAATGGCCTATACAATGACATTTAACCTCTTCGTAACGTAGGTGAATCTGTAGCCTCTAGATACCAACTGAACAATCTCTGAAGAACACTGCTGTCGACGACCTTGCAGTATACATTTTGTCTGTAAATTAAAAGCTTTATTGTATTATTTTATATTCCTTTTGTTCATATTATACTGACATTTAATAACATGTTAGACATTTTTTGTATCTGTTCTACAATTTATAGGATTGAAAAAGTCCTGTATGCTCTATATGTGTTTTGTTATTATTGTTATTACTGGCACAGCGGTATGACTGCGGACTTACAACGCTAGAAACCGGGTTTCGATACCCGTGGTAGGCAGAGCACAGATATCCCTTTGTGTAACTTTGTGCTTAACTACAAACAAACAAACAATTGAAGTACACATACATGTACATCTTTGCATAAAATAAAATAGCGGAAGTGTCGTTCTGTGAGCCAGCGGTAAGTTTACGCACTACCAATGCTAAAATTCGGAGTTCGATTCCCCGTGGAGGACAGAGTGCAGATTGTCTATTGTGTAGTTTTGCACTAAAAAACAATAATAGCATAAAATAATTTTAGCTTACAAACTTTGATATATATGTGTGTATAATAATATCAATTAATTAAATGCTTTGTTATAAATATAAACTATAAAGCTTTGCACCTATCGGCCCATTCTAGTTGCATTTGAAAAGTAACATTGTACTGTCAGTAGACGATAGTACTATTTTTTAAAAGTCTAGTAAGAATTGTAGAGAGGTAAGTAATATTAATAATTTTTAAACAAAGGGAGACCGACGTAGTAAAAGTGTGTCTGTATTTAAATACACTTTCATTAAAGTAAGTTTGCTAAACTGAGGAATTAATTGTAAGTGTAATGACTAATGTACAGTACTCTGGCAGTAGGTTAGTGAGTAACTAATGATAGTAATGTCATGACGTGTATTGATAATTGACTTACCGAGTAACTTGCCTTACAACTTAACTTTCAGTTTCAAGTTATTGGCTTATGTCAGACTTTTGCTATATCACGTTTAATTTTATTTTTAAGTTTAACAGTAATCTGTAACTTGTAAGTACTAATGCTGTTAATATTATATAATGAAATTATAAACAATGACAGAGAAACTGATTCAGTGTAGTAAAGTAAAACTAAAAGTAAATAATTAATTACTGAGTAGGTTACTACTACGGACACTGAGTACTAGTACTACTACTTTCAGTTTTATGTTTTAACCAAATACATGTAAACTGTAACTTGTAAGTAAGACAGACCCAATCGTTATGTAATAAAAAGGTAGATTAGAAATAGAATTACATCAGATTTTATCTAATCAACTGATTGGATTCATCCACTTTGTTCTATTATTTTTATTTCTCATGTGTTTGAATTTAAAATATAATTTAATTTGATGTCTTTATCTGTATATATCATTATGTGCTCAATTTCACTTACGTCACCATTATTATGTTATTACATCTCAGGATATATGAGAATGAATATTCTGTGTCAAAGTCACATTGATGAGTATTGGCTTCTGCATCTAGCAGGTGTGCTATCTGTGAATATTTTATCTGTCTATGCAAATCATATTGGCAGTAGCAACACTGGCTATATGTTAATGTAACACTTAGAACATGAATCTGCCTCTTATGAAATGTATGAATATTACAACTCAGATTCTTTAATTCTTGATGTAAATGTATTGCACAGTATCTAACACAATTGACAAATTACTTGTACAATAGTATATTAATTATGGATGAGATATTTCAATCGATGACCTTGTGAAATGTAAAATAATTGAGCTGGTTATTAAAAAATTGGGAAGTTAAAAAAATGATAAAGCTGCTGGGCTAGATAATATTTCCCCAAGGATTTTGAAGGAGGTTAAAGATTGGATATGTGAGCCACTTGCTACTGTTTTTGTCAGTTCTTGAATAGTGGGCAGATGCCAGAGGATTGGAAGTTAGCAAACATAACTTCTCTTTTAAAGGGATGTGATACAAATTGTCCCAGTAATTATAGACCCATTAGTTGTGGGAAAAGTTTTGGAAAGTCTATTAAAAGATGCTTTGCAAATTCATTTAACAAAGTTTAGAATTTTATTGGATAGTCATCATGATATCACTAAGGGAAAATCTTGCCTTACAAATCTTTTAAAATTCTTTGAAAAGGTTACTGCTTATTTAG